AGCTCTTCAAGAGCCTGACACCCAATTGGGACCTTCTGAGTAGGAAGCAGAAAGAGAATAGAGGTAAGTGCTCAGCTCTGTATGTCAGTATATTGTACAGAGACCCTCTCTGGTCACATCTGAGCGCCGGATACAATAGCGCAGAACACGCACACGTATGCACATGTTCCCTCCTTTTCTTGTCTATTAGTGCATGACAGACAAAGGTCAGTGAGATCCCCCTGAGCCCGACGAGGACTGAAAGTACAGACCGCTCAGCGCAGGATTCAGACCCTTGTGCTGAATATTCTGTCGCTGAAATGAGGCAATCAGCATGCAGTGTATTGAGGAGTGAGGCCTGTGTTGAGGTAAGTGAGCGAGGATTAGGAGGCCTGTGTTGAGGTAAGTGAGCGAGGATTAGGAGGCCTGTGTTGAGGTAAGTGAGCGAGGATTAGGAGGCCTGTGTTGAGGTAAGTGAGCGAGGATTAGGAGGCCTGTGTTGAGGTAAGTGAGCGAGGATTAGGAGGCCTGTGTTGAGGTAAGTGAGCGAGGATTAGGAGGCCTGTGTTGAGGTAAGTGAGCGAGGATTAGGAAGCCTGTGTTGAGGTAAGTGAGCGAGGATTAGGAGGCCTGTGTTGTTGAGGTAAGTGAGCGAGGATTAGGAGGCCTGTGTTGAGGTAAGTGAGCGAGGATTAGGAGGCCTGTGTTGAGGTAAGTGAGCGAGGATTAGGAAGCCTGTGTTGAGGTAAAGTGAGCGAGGATTAGGGGGCCTGTGTTGAGGTAAGTGAGCGAGGATTAGGGGGCCTGTGTTGAGGTAAGTGAGCGAGGATTAGGGGGCCTGTGTTGAGGTAAGTGAGCGAGGATTAGGGGGCCTGTGTTGAGGTAAGTGAGCGAGGATTAGTAGGGTGCTGGCATTCCACTTACCATCTCCCACCATGCACTAATAGTTCTGAAAACGTGGACTGTGCTGGAACTGAAATGCTTTTTATGTGGTCTGAGATAAGATTGCGCTCATTTTAGGGAAGGATTTGAGCACACGATGGCGCTCACTCCGCGACCGTTATCGGCGGGAACTGACAGAGGAACGTCTGGCGGCACAGAATGGAACCCCAATCCGTACAAAGAAAAGGCATCCCTATGCCAGAGAGCTCACTTTCCTGCGGAGGGCCATGGAGACGAGGGAGTAAGTCTACCAAAGTTTCACGTATGCCTTGCAGCACTGGGGTCCTGGGTCTGCATCCCATCCTTGGATTCAGCAGCCTGGGTATGTTTGTGTGGGCCCTACATGGGCCCCATGTGAATGAAGATTATGTGAAGCGCTGAGTACATTGATGGTCCTTTCTAATTTCATGTAAATAATAAAATCGAAGCATGCAAATTCCCAAAAACTTTAGGCGATAGTGTCAAAGCGCACAATGGGGATCTGTGTTTTACAAATCCACTCTTTGTGCAACTTCACTGACTCTGCCCCTTCCTTGCAGCTCACCCCCCCCTGCCCTTTCCTTGCAGCTCACCCTCGTCCCTTGCATGCAGCTCACCCATACCCCTTGCTTGCAGCTCACCCCCCCCACCCTTTCCTTGCAGCTCACCCACAGCCCCTTGCATGCAGCTCACCCATACCCCTTACTTGCAGCTCAACCCCGCCCCTTGCTTGCAGCTCTTCCTCACCCCTTGCTTGCAGCTCACCCCCACCCCTTGCTTGCAGTTCACTCCCCCCATCCCTTTATTGTCGCTTATTCCCACCACTTCCTTTGCCTATCAGCCTCGCTCCTTGCTTGCAGTTCTCCCTATGTCTCTCCTTGCCTCTCACCCCCTCCCCATCCTTGCAGTTCACCCCACCCCTTCCTTGCCACTCACCCCCACCCCCTTGCTTGCAGTTCACCCTATGCCCCTTCCTTGCCCCTCACCCCATTCCTTTCTTGCGGCTCACCCCCCCCCGCTTGCTTGCAGTTTACCCCACATCCCTTCCTTGCTCGTACCACCCCATCTTTGCTGCTCACCCCACCCCATCTTTGCTGCTCACCCCCCGCCCCTTCCTTGCAGCTCACCCCATGTCCCTACCTTGCAGGTCTCGCTGCCCCCTCCTTGCAGCTCACCGATGAGTGTACCTGTGGGTGTCTGTGCAACCCATGTATACTGTAGAGACAGCAGTTGGTCATATGTGGAATAATGCTTCCATTTATTTTGTAGGTGTTCGCATTGAGATTTTTTGATGATATTATTTGGATTTTTTTTACTATAGGGCAACATCCAATGTGGCTGTGGAAGAGGAGGAAAGCAAGGCTGGGCATTCCAATCCAGGGACACCTGCTGAGCCAGAGGAGGCTGCAAACTCTGCCCCATGCACACCGCAGGTATATTAATATCGATCTTTCTAACCTATCCATCCATTCTCTCTACATATCGTCCTGTCTGGTCTGTCCATCTACCTCTATCCAGACAAATCTGTAGAAGTTGCTCTGTTTTTCTAGACTCCACAAGCAGTACAGAAGGCCAGACAGCCAGCAACATCCGGCCTTCGATGTGCCCGCCGTCAGCAGAGGATGTCTCTTTCCTGCAATGACCAAATCCTGCGACTTCTGAAGGAACTGACAGAGCGGCAAACATCTCTACAGCCAGACAACGATATTTTCCGGAATCTCAATGACCCCCGGGTGGTGTTTTGTCGCAGTCTCCTACCACTCCTACAGCGCCTCCCTGATGACCGCGAGATGCAGGCCAAGGAAGATATATATACTTACCTTACAGCATGCATCTCTGCCCAACGGAGAGACCTACCACCCCCTCGGATGCACCTCTCCCCCACACCTACCGTCACCTCCATCTGTCCAGCTTATGTTCAGGAACCCTCTAATTGCAGTGCCCTTCCTGCAAACCATGTGCAGCCCTAGTCACCTTCCCCCAATATACCATTCCAATTCCATTCCTCCGGTTCCACCAAGTGCCCCTTTACAGAATAGACTCCTCTCAGCCCTGCGATCCGTTCAGTGCTCATTTCAAGAATTTGTTGTTGTTTTTTTTTAATATTATATACTTTGTTTTATAGAAGTAATAAATACAAACATGCTCTGCCTCCATAGGACATCTTCTGAATGACATTTGTTTTTTTTTTTCCACATTTGCAAATGTCTTCTATTTAAACCTGTCTAAATGACTAAAATAAAAAATACCCTTTTCTTGGGGCCCCTGTAATACTTGGGAGGAGCAGAAAGGACAGTTTGAGAGGACGTTGGTGATGTAGCTGGGGGAGTTGGTGTGGATGGCTTTGTATGTTGTTAGTGGTGGGTGGAGGACACTGAATGGAGGCCAGTGGAGGGATTGGCAGAGGGGGGTGGAGGACACTGAATGGAGACCAGTGGAGGGATTGGCAGAGAGGGGTGGAGGACACTGAATAGAGACCAGTGGAGGGATTGGCAGAGAGGGGTGGAGGACACTGAATAGAGGCCAGTGGAGGGATTGGCAGAGAGGGATGGAGGACACTGAATGGGAAGCCAGTGGAGGGATTGGCAGAGAGGGGTGGAGGACACTGAATAGAGACCAGTGGAGGGATTGGCAGAGAGGGGTGGAGGACACTGAATGGAGACCAGTGGAGGGATTGGCGGAGAGGGGTGGAGGGATTGGCAGAGAGGGGTGGAGGACACTGAATGGAGACCAGTGGAGGGATTGGCGGAGAGGGGTGGAGGACACTGAATGGAGACCAGTGGAGGGATTGGCGGAGAGGGGTGGAGGGATTGGCAGAGAGGGGTGGAGGACACTGAGTGGAGGCCAGTGGAGGGATTGACAGAGGGGGGTGGAGGAGGACGCTGAGTGGAGGCCAGTGGAGGGATTGGCAGAGAGGGGTGGAGGACACTGAATAGAGACCAGTGGAGGGATTGGCAGAGAGGGGTGGAGGACACTGAATGGAGGCCAGTGGAGGGATTGGCAGAGAGGGGTGGAGGACACTGAATGGAGGCCAGTGGAGGGATTGGCAGAGAGGGGTGGAGGACACTGAATGGAGGCCAGTGGAGGGATTGGCAGAGTGGGGTGGAGGACACTGAATGGAGGCCAGTGGAGGGATTGGCAGAGAGGGGTGGAGGACACTGAATGGAGGCCAGTGGAGGGATTGGCAGAGAGGGGTGGAGGACACTGAGTGGAAGCCAGTGGAGGGATTGGCAGAGGGGGTGGAGGACACTGAATAGAGACCAGTGGAGGGATTGGCAGAGAGGGGTGGAGGACACTGAATGGAGGCCAGTGGAGGGATTGACAGAAAGGGGTGGAGGACACTCAGGGGCGTCCCTAGGGTTGGTGTCACCCCTCCAACGATCCCTGCAGGATGGATCGGATCTGTGGATTGAGCATAATGGATTGGAGACCGATACATTATGCTCCCCAATCCACAGATCCCATCCATCTTGCAGGTATTGTCGGCTTGCAACCTATATGGGGTTAACTGATCTTTCAACACCAGTCCGGTCTGCACATGCTGGAGAACTGATGTCAGATGGAGGAGGTTCCTGTTATCACGGCATTTCCTGGTTACAGAAAAGTCCCGGATCTTGCACAGCATTACCTAGATCAGTTAACCCCCATATAGGTTGCAAGCCGACGATCCCCGCAAGATGGATCTGCGGATTGGGAACATAATGGATCAGACTCCGATAGCTGTTAACCGTGGCGGTGCGCACCCACCTAGGGACACCACTGAGGACACTGAATGGAGGCTAGTGGAGGGATTGGCAGGGAGGGGTGGAGGACACTTAATAAAAGCCAGTGGAGGGATTGGCAGAGAGGGGGTGGAGTATACTATATGGAGGCCAGTGGAGGGATTGGCAGGGAGGGGTGGAGGACACTTAATAAAAGCCAGTGGAGGGATTGGCAGAGAGGGGTGGAGTATACTATATGGAGGCCAGTGGAGGGATTGGCAGAAGGGTGGAGGACACTGAATGGAAACCAGTGGAGGGACTGGCAAAGAGGGATGAAGGACACTAAATGGAAACCAGTGGAGGGACTGACAGAAAGGGATGGAGGACACTGAATGGAGGTCAGTTGAAGGATTGGCAGAGATGGGTGGAGGACACTGAATGGAGGCAAGTAGAGGGATTGGCAGAGAGGGGTGGAAGACACTGAATAGAAGCCAGCAGATGGATTGGCAGAGAGGTATGGAGAACACTGAATGCAGGCCAGTGGAGGGATTGGCAGAAGGGTGGAGGACACTGAATGAAAGCCAGTGGAGGGATTGGCAGAGAGGGGTGGAAGATACTGAATGGAGGCCAATAGAGCGATTGGCAGAAAGGGGTGGAGGACACTGGATAGAGGCCAGTGGAGGATTGGGAGAGAGGGGGGTGTAAAACACTGAATGGAGGCCAGTGGAAGGATTGGTTGACAGAGGTGGAGGACACTGAAAGGAGATCAGTGGAAGGATTGGCAGAGGGGTGGAGGACACTGGATAAAGGCCAGTGGAGAGATTGGCAGAGAGGGGTGGAAGAAACTGAATGGAGCCAAGTGGGGAGATTGGTTGAGAGGTGCAGGACACTGAATGGAGACCAGTGGAAGGATTGGCAGAGAGTGGTGGAGGACACTGAATGGAGGCCAGTGGAGAGAGATTGGTTGAGAGAGGTGGAGGACACTGAATGTAGGCCAGTGGAGGGATTGGCAGAGGGGTGAAGGACACTGAACGTAGGCCAGTGGAGGGATTGACAGAAAGGCGTGGAGGACACTCAGGGGTGTCCTTGGGTTGGTGTCAGCCCTCTGACGATCCCCGCAGAATGGATCGGATCTGTGGAGGAATCCAGTGGAGGGATTGGTAGAGAGGAGTGGAGGAAATTGGAAGGAGGCCAATTAGAAATTGGGCGAGTCTGGCAGCAGGATTCATGATAGATTGAAGAGGCACATTTTGGAAATGTATTTTAGGAGAAAGCAGCAAGTCTTGGACAGTGATTGGAAAAGTCCATCAATTTATATTTGTTTTTCTGTTCATATTGGTACAATGGAGAGGCAGCAGAGTGTCAGTAATATGTGTACAGTAACACAAGGGAGTCATACCAGGATCATCCACAAGGAGGCAGCAGAGTGTCGGCAATATTATGTGAATAGTAACACAGAGGGAGTCATACCAGGATCATCCACAAGGAGGCAGCAGAGTGTCGGTAATATTGTGTATAGTAACACACAGGAATCATACCAGGATCATCCACAAGGAGGCAGCAGAGTGTTGGTAATATTATGGGTGTCATACCACTATCATCCACAAGGAGGCAGCAGAGTGTTGGTAATATTATGGGTGTCATACCAGGATAATCCACAAGGAGGCAGCAGAGTGTCAGTAATATTATGTGTCATACCAGGATCATCTACAAGGAGGCAGCAGAGTGTCAGTAATATTATGTGTCAGACCAGGATCATCCACAAGGAGGCAGCAGAGTGTGTCATATTATGGGTGTCATACCAGGATCATCTACAAGGAGGCAGCAGAGTGTCAGTAATATTATGTGTCAGACCAGGATCATCCACAAGGAGGCAGCAGAGTGTCATATTATGGGTGTCATACCAGGATAATCTACAAGGAGGCAGCAGAGTGTCAGTAATATCATGTGTGTCATACCAGGATCATCCACAAGGAGGCAGCAGAGTGTTGGTAAGATTATATGTATAGTAACACAGGGGAGTCAAACCAGAATCATCCACAAGAGGCAGAAGAGTGTTGGTAAAGTTATGGGTGCCATACCAGGATCATCCACATGGAGGCAGAAGAGTGTTGGTAATGTTATGGGTGTCATACCAGGATCATCCACAAGGAGGCAGCAGAGTGTCGGTAATATTAGGTATAGAGCAACACAGGGAAGTCATACTGGGATCATCCACAAGGAGGCAGCATAGTGTTGGTAATGTTATGGGTGTCATACCAGGATCATCCACAAAGAGGCGGCAGAGTCGGTAATATGGGGTGTCATACCAGGATTATCCACAAGGAGGCAGCAGAGTGTCGGTAATATTAGGTATAGAGCAACACAGAGAAGTCATACTGGGATCATCCACAAGGAGGCAGCATACTGTTGGTAATGTTATGGGTGTCATAACAGGATCATCCACAAGGAGGCAATGCGGTTTTATCATGCTAATTAAACTTATGAGTCATACTGATTCTGGCCACAGGGTGGCAGCACTGATTATCGTTAATACTACTGCGCATGTATGCCGCCATTCTCGTCCTCAATAAGATGGCGGCTATAGCGGACAAGTCTCAGCGTACAAATCTTCTCCACGTTTTAGTTCCTTATAAAAAATATAGAATAAGGAACTCAACTTAAAGGCGATCGGTTCGTCCTATAGATCCAACTATTTCCATCTGCGGGGTCGTGGTGTTAAGGATCGCAACGGTTTTCCCCAAAGCAAAATGGCGTCTAAGTTTTCAAAATCACGTCTAATAGCTACGGTGTGAGGGGCGGAGCCTAGTAATATTTCCCCACGCTTGTCATTGTAAATACAGTTTTTATCACTTTCCCTCAGCACTACATGTGTCTCCAATCACCTCTGCAGTTTGTCTAAACCAAAATAATGCCGGAACCTGGAGAGAAACTCTAAGAGAAGAAATGTCTGTGATGGCGGCCATATTTTTGAAGACTACAAAATGGAAGCTACTCTCCCAGGACACAAAAACATTTCCGTCTGCCACGACCGCCATTTTATCGAAGATCTAAAATATTTTCCACTCTAAAATGGCGCCAACAGGCTGGGCATGCGCTATACGTCATACAGATACTAAGCTGCCATCTGCTGGCCGTTCCTGGAAGCCCTCAGCTTGATTTTCTATACCAGAATATTACAGGTACTTTGTCGCCGCCTTGTGGATGGATGTGTTAGGTAGTACTTTTATATTTCGAAGCACAGAACATTACATTACTGATTTTCTTGCTGCCATCTTTCTGGCTGAGCCTGGTATGACTCCCACCGGAGGTCTGACAGAACTTTATTACATTAATACAATCGGCCGGGAAGGAGGATATCTCTGCAGTTTCCTCATTTTCTACAGTGGAAACAGAACTGGGTATGTGGGGAAGGTAGTTCCTAGCTATTTGTCTACAGTAGCCGCCATCTTTTTGAAGACCATGGACTGCTTTTTTACCTGTCAAGGATGGCGGCCCGGACATGCGCAGTAGTCGGTAAATATATTAGTTTGTATACTATAGCTTTATTTGTATGTCTGGTCATACATGTCTGTCAGGCCGCCATTGTACTGAGGATAATACAGAGAATTCCATCATTACCTTCATGTCCGCCGGGGTTTTTGCGGCTCCGCCCCCCCCTCTTCTGATTGGCTCATCTCTAGTCTATGATTTATCGTTGGGTATATAGGTAACTAATGAATGATGGATGGTTATAGGTTGGGGGCGGGGATACAGGGCCCTTTTCTAGACGGAAGCCAATAAGAAGGTAGAGGGCGGGACCGCACAAACAACGTGGACTTGTTGGGAACCGGATATCATGCGGGGGTGACGTAGCCTGCTTGTGCCCCACCCCCCGGAAGTCGTTCTGTGAAGTGGGCGGGGAAATGAGAATAGCGGGACTGGCGTGTTCTATGGGTGTGGCTGAGGAGGATGGAGCCTGAGGTAAAAAATGTGTCTTCTATGTCCGCTCTTTTCACTCTCTTCTCCCCCCTCTATATTGTATCCCCCTCACCCCCCCTCTCTATTGTATCCCCCCTCACCTCCCTCTATATTGTATCCCCCTCACCCCCCCCTCTATATTGTACCCCCCTCCCTCCCTCCCTCTATATTGTATCCCCCTCACCCCCCTCTATATTGTACCCCCCTCACCCCCCTCTATATTGTATCCCCCCTCACCCCCCCCTCTATATTGTATCCCCCTCACCCCCCTCTATATTGTATCCCCCTCACCCCCCTCTATATTGTATCCCCCCTCACCCCCTCTATATTGTATCCCCCTCACCCCCCTCTATATTGTATCCCCCTCTCACCCCCCTCTATATTGTATCCCCCCTCACCTCCCTCTATATTGTATCCTCCTCACCCCCCTCTATATTGTATCCCCCCTCACCTCCTTCTATATTGTATCCCCCTCACCCCCCCCTCTATATTGTATCCCCCTCACCCCCCTCTATATTGTATCCCCCCTCACCCCCACTCTATATTGTATCCCCCTCACCCCCCTCTATATTGTATCCCCCTCACCCCCCTCTATATTGTATCCCCCTCACCCCCCTCTATATTGTATCCCCCTCACCCCCCCTCTATATTGTATCCTCACCCCCCTCTATATTGTATCCCCCTCACCCCCCCTCTATATTGTATCCCCCTCATCCCCCTCTATATTGTATCCCCCTCACCCCCCTCTATATTTGTATCCCCCCACCCCCCCCCCCTCTATATTGTATCCCCCTCACCCCCCCCTCTATATTGTATCCCCCTCACCCCCCTCTATATTGTATCCCCCCCCCTCACCCCCCTCTATATTTGTATCCTCCTCACTCACCCCCTCCCTCTATATTGTATCCTCCTCACCCCCCTCTATATTGTATCCTCCTCACCCCCCTCTATATTGTATCCCCCCTCACCCCCCTCTCTATATTGTATCCCCCTCTCACCCCCCTCTATATTGTACCCCCCCTCACCCCCTCTATATTGTACCCCCCCCCCTCATACCCCCCTCAAACCCCTCTATATTGTACCCCCCCCTCACCCCCCTCTATATTGTACCCCCCCTCACCCCCCTCTATATTGTATCCCCCTCACCCCCTCTATATTGTATCCCCCCTCACCCCCCCTCTATATTGTATCCTCCTCACCCCCCTCTATATTGTATCCCCTCCTCACCCCCTCTATATTGTATCCCCCTCACCCCCCTCTATATTGTATCCCCCTCACCCCCTCTATATTGTATCCTCCTCACCCACCCCCTTCTATATTGTACCCCCTCACCCCCTCTATATTGTACCCCCTCACCCCCTCTCTATATTGTATCCCCCTCCTCCACCCCCCTCTATATTGTATCCTCCTCACCCCCCCTCTATATTGTACCCCCCTCTATATTGTATCCCCCTCACCCCCCTCTATATTGTATCCCCCTCACCCCCCTCTATTTTGTACCCCCCCTCACCCACCTCTATATTGTATCCCCCTCTATATTGTATCCCCCTCCACCCCCCTCTATATTGTACCCCCCCTCACCCCCCTCTATATTGTATCCCCCTCACCCCCCTCTATATTGTACCCCCCCTCACCCCCCTCTATATTGTATCCCCCTCTATATTGTATCCCCCTCTATATTGTATCCCCCTCACCCCCCTCTATATTGTACCCCCCTCACCCACCTCTATATTGTATCCCCCTCTATATTGTATCCCCCTCACCCCCCTCTATATTGTATCCCCCTCACCCCCCTCTATATTGTATCCCCCTCACCCCCCTCTATATTGTATCCCCCTCACCTCCCTCTATATTGTACCCCCCTCACCTCCCTCTATATTGTATCCTCCCTCACCCCCCTTTATATTGTATCCTCCCTCACCTCCCTCTATATTGTATCCTCCCTCCCTCACCCCCTTTATATTGTATCCTCCCTCACCTCCCTCTATATTGTACCCTCCTCACCCTCCCTCTATATTGTACCCTCCTCACCTCCCTCTATATTGTACCCTCCTCACCTCCCTCCATATTGTACCCTCCTCACCC